ATTTTTTTTCACTCATTCATTTATAAGTTAATAATGCCTTCTGTGCTGTTAAAAGATAATCTGAATGAAATTAAACTGGTAGAAGCAAAGCAAAGGACAGGGGAAATATAGAATGAAAAGATGCATGCGATGTTGCATGATGGCTATCTACATATTAGGTGGATTGTTTTTTGGATTGCAAGTGCTTTTAAAAAGCTGGGCCGTACTAATTTTTGAGGAAATATGCTTGCTGTGGCATGCCTCCTTGCACTTTGAAAGATTCCATATATTCAATTTTCAAATATTTTTTGAAAAAAGATTAAGGGTATAATAAAAATGTAACTATGGCAGTTTGCATGACTTTTTTTACCAAAATGACAAATCATGTGCTAAGATATTTTTTTAATAAAATTTGTTTTTTGTTAAATTTTTTTTATAATTTATGGTTCCTAAAAACAAAGCTAATGATAGAATAAATGGTTAGTTTAATCCTTATATCAGTGAATACATGATTAATTTGGTTTCTGTATTGTCGATCACGAGTTTCACATTAAAATTGACCATGTGTTTGGTCCACGTTTTACCTAAATTAGTTAATGTATTATGAGATGGACTCATTTACTTGCAGAATTGATTAAGTTTGCAGTTGGAGGGACTTGGAAGAAATCAGTCAGAAAAACTTTAAATTTTGGAATCTGATTCTATGATCAGTTTATGATGTTATTTGCCTGATGTGCCTTTAAAGTACACACACACACGTATATATATATATAGTATATATATATATATATATATATATACTATCTATATATATATATATATATATATATATTATATAATATAATATATATCTATATTATTATATATATATTAATTTTAATATTTTTAAATATATTAAAATTTTCAATATATCAACATTAACACTTTTAAAAACTCATCAAAGAAACAGTATAAAAAATCATCAGAATCTTACCTTTAAATTTTTTATATAGTTTGGTATATTCTGAATATGTAGAATGTACCAGAAATACTGATATATGACACCATCGTTACCAATTTACTAAAAGGCTCTATATATTTTTGCTTTTTCTCGGAGTCCACAGAAATAGTAAATAAAATGGAGATGTTCAATTAATTCCCCACCTTTTGTCAGTTAGATCACCTCTTCCCTCTATAGAAAACTTTTCCATTAGACACCTATTGTATATTTTTTGTTTACTATTCAATTTTGTTATCAAATATCATGTTAATAATACATATAATACATGTTTCATTTTCTATTCAATAAATATTTTTTATTTGATAAATTTAATATAATTTATATCTCGGAAAAAAAATCAAAAGTTTCATTTATGCCGCTAAAATATAACTATACCTTCGCAATAAAAGCATATACATATAACTTCTGATTATATAGTTAAACTTAATATTATATGAAAAACGATAGCTTAAACCTATATTTTCGTAGTTTCACTGTTTTTGTTAGGCCGACATATACTTATAAATATACAAGTTTTTTTGTTAGGTTAAGATGTATAAGGAAGTTTATATGTCCACTTTACTTCCCAATTTTCAAATTGATCCGTCTTCTAATATTTATGCCAATGTATTCCTTGATAAGGATTTGATGATCTTGACGTGAGAGTTTGTAAAATTATTCCACTTCAAGTAAGTTATAGAGTAAAATAATAAAGTTGAAATGATTCTACTATATCTGTATAGTGATTGTAATCTAGTATTTGAAATTAACCATTATCTTGGATTTAGGTCGTAGAATTATCTTGATTTAGATTTTTTAATTTGTATAATTATTATTAATCTTTCGGTTATTACTTATGTAAGTTCGTAGTACAGGATTAACACATATATCTTTAACTCTTTGGTGTAGATTGAAGATTCATCAGATTATCTTGTTTTAGAGTTTTTTAATTTCTATAATTGTCCTTAATCTTTCCGTAATATCCTTATTACTTATGTAGATCATTTACTGTATGATTGACATATACATCTTCGACTCTTTGTTGTAGAAAAGGGAAACTTCAGCTTTATTAGGTCGGTGTGTTTTCGCCTCTTCGTATATCTTTACAAAGCAATCACAACCTTCCCTAAAATATTATTTTACATGATCTTTACTATCTACTGATTTTATAATTTTAAAAATTAAAATCACAGTTACATGAAAATAAATAAAAACATGGACATTAGAAAAAGGAAAAATGTTTTATCTTATGTTTTGAAAATAGTCCAAATTCGAGCGATGAGTACTCGCTAAAAGCACTTTGACGCTCAAGTTAGTTTTTGATTACCGGTTGGTTATTATAATTAGCTTTTAAAGTTTAATAAATGCAATGATCTACCTCTTTACCTTAATTTTGCACTTATAAGTTTCTAAGTGGACTTTCAATTACAACTGACCCAATTGCCAGTCCATATTCTTTAAGTACGCTTTTATCTTGTTAATCAAACTTTTAGGTTCGTCAACCGAACCTCCTAGTCACAATTCTGATCGTTCGATTGACCCAGTTGCAATTTATTCGTGAAGTTGATTTTTTGTGGTTGACCGATCGGTGAACATAGACCAATCAATCTACCGGAGCAAGTTCCAATTCTTCTGTTCTTCAGCATCGCTCAGAGACTCAGCCATATGATATAATAGTGTACTTACTTACAAATACTTTGTTGATATAATCAAGAACGTCGAACAAATGATGTCATTAACAAGTTTACAACTGATCTGCTTTGGACATATTTCCAAAAACATCCCCAAAAAGCATAAAAAAATAGCATCTTAAGCAAACTATGATGATGGGTATTAAAACAAAAATGTAAACAAGAACATGAGACGACTAACCAAAGCATACACACAGTTGATCTATTTAGAGCAGCAAACTCTACAATAGAAACTTTTTCTAAACCATACTAGTGACAGTAGTAAAATTGCAAAAATAGTAACAATATATTCACATTTAAAAGTTTTCTTTTCTCGTTTTCTAAAACATCATCCAAATGCAAACTGTAGAATTACTCAGACCATCGTTGTATTATAAGTAGTTCTTGAATATCACAAGACCAAATAAAACACATGGTACATATGCAGCACATTTTCATCATGGCAATCACTTGCCAATGCCACAGCAGTTTTCTTCAGCGGGCCTCGTATTGGACAACTGCATAAAAAACACTATATCTTAAGTACAGTACGAAAAAACATGCAGCTAAAACGTGCAAAGTTTATATTAGTTATGATATTTTTATGCCAAGTCCAAGTAGTTCTTCCAATGGACTTGCCCAAACTTGTGTTTATCCATTAACAAATTATTCTTATGATGCTTCATACTCGTTAACACTGGAACTGAGCGAAAAAGGAGAAGAAAAAAAATGTTCACTTGAGTTGGAATATGCTACGTAGTACTTCCAATTCTTTGAGTTCGAATAAAATTAGCTTTATAAAATAGTCCAAACCACACTATACTACAATAAAATTCTCATAAAATAATCAATTACGTTTTGAAATTGTTTACAGAACAAGTGTTTTAGAAAAATCCAAAAAGGATAAAAAATCCGCTAATAGATGCTTTCTCAAAGTCTTTTTCCCCCTTTAAATGCTCTACTCAAGTGCTCAAAGAACAAAGTTATAAAAAAGAATAACGCTCAACACCTCTAAATATGCTCTGTGGCATAAAAAAATGTTTTCAAAACTTTAGTCTATACACTGTTAGAAGGACTAATACGAGAACCTAGAAACAGAGATACTTGTTTTAAAACAACACTGATCTCTAACAATTTCACTAACACATTATAAAAACACATAACCGAAAGAGAGATAATTTCCAAAGGCAACTATAATTACTGATTACTTCTATTGTTTTAATTAATATACATAAGTGAAAAAAACAAAAAAAGATAACTTTGCAGCCACAAACGAAACAGAGAGTATGTAGAATAGCGAGTTAACGAAATCAAAGCTTACTGCGACGAGTGCGCTTCTTGTAAAGGATACGGTAACCGCACTCGCGGCACTGTATAACGTCACCGGGCTTCAGCGTATTCTCCATGCCACAATCTGAAGCATACGCACACTTATAATCACAATGCATCCTCAAAACCCTAAACACACATTTATATTTGTAGAAAAGGAGAAAAATAGAAACTCAATTACGACAAAGAAAGATAAGATTAGAGAAGAAACCTCCGCAGATGTAGCTGACCGGTTCAGGCTGAGGATCCATTGATGATTCCGGCAAACTGAGAAAGAAGAACGTTCTAGGTTTAGGTTTGGCGGAACTGACGCGCACTCACAGAAGAAAATTGAACATGCTGAGTCTAAGCTTTTAGAGGGAAAGATTGGGCTTCATGTTCTTGGGCCCAAATTTGCTGGGTTTCTAGGAAAAAAATAACTTTTAAAATTTTCAATTAAATTATTGATTTTTAGATTGTATAACTTAAAAATTAATTATTAATTTTTGGATTGTATAATTAGAAAAATAAAATAAAAAACTAATGTGGTTGCATGAAGTAAACTATGGAGGTGAAATGATGAAATTGCCAAAATCGGAAACACTTCTATTTTCTTCTAATATGGATTGAAATTTTTAAGTTATACAATCTAAAAATAATGTATGGAATATTATTAAATAAATGTAATTTTATAGTTTATAACATTAAAAACTAAAATAAAAAAAATCATTATTACATAGGTTCTTAACTTCCAAGTTTAAAAGTAAACGAAGAAATATAAATAAATATATCATAATATTTACTTTTAAATTTTAGAGAAATAAAATAATAAAAAATAAAAAATTAATGTAGTGTAAAATTATTATTAAATTCTATATAAATATATATGTATATTGATTAATTTGCAAGAGAGAAAATTGAGCTTTCTATTCTTCTATATTTCCAAATCAAATCAAGAAATAGTAGTCCATTCTAGAATAGTCAATGATGGCCACCCTTTGGTCAACTAACCATTAAATAGAAAATCAAATTCAAAACCAGTGTATACCAGCTTTCTTTGACTTGGAAAATATTCGAATCCACTTGCATATTCGGCTTAAATTTCAACCTAGTTAATATCCAGAAACAATGCATATTCTGTGAAAATCAAGACAAGAATTTGTCCAATATACCAAATTGTATTTTGATTATAATAATTGCTACGAAACTTGTAATACAAAGCTTCCCTTGAACAGCTGATAACAAGAATTGTAGCTAATAATACAATCTATCAGCATATTTTGAAGAATTCTGTTTCGAATATCAAATGTCTGAAATCACGATTATGAAGTCTTGTGCTACCTCTCCGGGGAGATCCATTACTTTTCCACATCTTGATGACAATTTACCACAAAATCAGATTTCTGTTGCTAGCTGTTCTTTCAACGACAAAGGTAAGAAAGAACCAGCACTTCATTCCTTGGTTTTATACTTTGTTCTCATCACTCGAATATACAAGACTAAACCAGTAACAGACTATAAAGGGAGTTTTTTTGTACCTTCTGCAGGTAAAGAGAATGACATGAAGGACACAGGAAAAAACAGCAGTTTTACATTTAGGATTCATGACCATGGTAATTCAAAGTTGAGAATCACACACATCAGAAAAAACTGATCAATTCTATTGAACATTAAATTAACTCAATATTAATGCATGACTGCAGTGAAAATGGGTCCTAATCTGTCTGAGATTCTGAAGGGGAAGTTGAGTTTGGGGGCAAGGATTATACAAGAAGGAGGAAGAGGGAACATCTTCAAGAATGTTTTTGGGATGCAAGAAAAAGAGCAATTGTTAAAGGCCTCTCAGTGTTATGTATATACCACAGCTGGTCCTATTGCAGGAGTTCTCTTTATCTCAACCCAAAAGGTTGCATTTTGCAGTGAAAGGCCAATAACCTTCAGTTCTGTGACAGGAGAGTTAGCCAAGGCACCATACAAGGTAGTCTTTCATACGAAAGAACCTAACTTTAAACTCAAATTAGTTAGTTATATGCAAGGTTTAAAAAACGACAGTGATGCAATTTATGCACAGCATCAAGGTTTTTGAGGATGGCTATAATTGAAATTGTGTCTGCATGACTTTGTTTATCCAAAATTGCAACTAGAACTGCAATTTGAATCTTGTTTATATGTTTTTCACCTATTGCATTCTTCTGAATTCTGATGTCATCGTGCTTTTTATTATATATGCAGGTTTTGATTCCAATAGGTAGAATAAAAGAGGTCAATGGAAGCCAGAATGTGAATAATGTAGAACAGAAGTACATAGAGATAGTGACAGAGGAGGATTCTGAATTTTGGTTTTTGGGGTTCCTGCGGTACGAGAAAGCTCTTAAGAATCTGAACAAAGCCATTTCCATGTCCAATCATAACCTAAAGGAGTGAATGTTAGCATTCTATATTTTGTGAAGAACTTAGTTTTATTTTTCTGTTTTGGTTGATTAACAGCTGCTGATGACCAATTTGTATAGGCTTAAGGTATAAAAAACAATTGGGTTGAAGGAAGTATTAATCTTTGTATAGGTTTAAGGTAGCATTAAGGTCTAACTTTATATGACAATTTTGTACCATATGTGTGTTTGTTTCACAAGTTAACGAAATTCTCAACTTGGCACAAAAGATAAATAAGATGATAAAGGGGTTATGCATCATTGATCACCAAAATGTGAATCAAAGGAGTGCTTACACTTCAACCATAGCAGCATATGCCATTTATTATATTCATGTAAATGTCCTTCCCGGAAGAACCATCTAATCTGATTTGACTGGTTTTATTCATTCTGGTGGGAAAATTAAGCCCTCTTGAACTTAACCTTGAAGGATGGAACCTTATCACTGAGAGACAAATGCTTGTTTCCATCATCACCAACATATAAGCCAAGTTCCCTACACAAAGTCTGGCATTTACACACTGAGGGACAGAAAGAAATGACATAGTCTTTGTCAGCCTTCTCAATCTTGAACCAATTGACGACAGTGTCAATCCCTGGATTGCCTTCAACACCACCAGTGCTCAAAAACCACACCCCAGTTAACACCTTGAGGAGCTTCCACACAGGGGGTTTGTCACAGGAGGTGGTTGGCCCATAGGACTTGATGTTGAGATCAGTTGAAGTTAGAACAACACCACTTTTGGCATTGTATGGTGTGAAAGTAACTGGGGAGCCATTCAAGACTTCAAGCTTCTCTTGCACCACAAAGAGTGGGCATGTGGTGTTGCCACTGGTTGAAACAGTTAGACCACCGCCTTTGCCCCTCAAAACTGGGAGAATGTAGTACTTGACACCTGTTCTCAGTTTCTGGCCGGAGGTGTCAACCACCGGCTCAGGTGCTGCCACAGCAACACCCACCAAGAGAATGGAAAATGCTAAGAATGAGGCCTTCATGTTTCTGAATGATGTAAGAATAGATTTGGTGTTTCTGTGTGTACTTGATGGATTGGGAAAGATTAGCCTCTATTTATAGGGGCTTAAAAGGGGACATCATGAGTTTTGTGTCTTTGGATCTCTATTATTTAGGATAAATGATATTTTAACAGACACAAATTCTTCATATTTATTTGATGTTATTTTTTGTAATTATTTTATTTTTATAATATGTATGAAATAATTGTAATGTGTACTGTCTCGTTACTTATTATTCAATTTGCATAAGAATACTATTATTGAGACAAATGATTAGTTAGAGTAGTGGGATGTAGGCCATAGTACAGAGTTAGTATTATCTTAAAAGTGTAACACCTAAACTTTTACACATGCTTTATGTTTATTATTTTATTTTTCAATCTTTCTAATTTTTTACAAATATAAAATTAATTTTTTAATAATTAAAATATTTTTAAAAGTAAATTGTCAAATATTTTAGTCTAATTAAAAAAAAAATATAAAATGTGTGTAAAAATGTATTGATGTAAAAATAATAATACTCATACCTAAAGTTTTATATTAATGAAATTGCCTCTTATCGAAGTGAGGAGACGGTTCAATTAAGGCATCAACGTGTATAATTGTGTGTCTTTTTCGACAACCTTATGTTTTGGTAACGTGCCAATTGTTTTGCACATGTTTATCGGGAAGAACTGTAACGAGAGTCCAAAACCAAACTAGTTTTATTAAATAAAAGTCTAATTTATTTTTATTAAAATCATATTTATATATTATAATTAAATTTCAATAATTTATTACGTTGATTATTATTTATTATTATATTAATTTTTGTTATACTCCTTAAATACTATTATAATATAAACATAAACTCAAGTTTAAGAGTGATCTGATAAATCATTTTTATAAGATAATTTATTAATTTTTTTATTTTTGCTTTTGAGATTCAATCCAATCTGACTTGTTATTTGAGTCCTGCTTAATGTATCTAGCATTGGTAATTGGTGTATTTTCTGGTTTTGGTTTCTTATTTTGTGATGGAAAAGAACAGAAACACATGGAAAAAGCTTTTGCAGCTACTGAATGGAATTTAGAAAGAAGCCACCCACTGAGTGCGTTTACATTCAATGGCCGACATATAATTTTCGTTGACTTCCTCTTCTTTTCGATTTTTTCATAACTTTAATAGTTCTTTCTCATGATTTTTTAAATTTTATTTCACTATTTTCAACTTACTTAATCTGATATTTTATTTTTTTAAATACATTAATAAGTTATTTCATTAACATGAATTACTAAGTGACGTCTTATAAATAATAAATACAATAACAAATGATCCCTATAAGTATGTCTATATATATATATATATAATAACTAATAACAAATAGTGAGTTATATATAACTATAACAATGTTGTTACTAAAAATATTATGTTAATTTATTTATTTTAAATAAAACTAAATAAAAATATTTAAAATAATGTCACAAAATTAAAGAAATTTATAAAGAATAACTATTACACTTTGTTTACGAGAATTCAAATATTCAAAACTCTTTCTTATTTAAATATTTATTTTTTAGCACATTTTAGTTTATGAAACATGGAAATATTCGAGATTTGAAGTATCTGCCTTGACTAAATTAAGAAGGACAATACTTTGATACTAATTTTCTTTTATCCCATTTGATCCTATCCTTTATTACATTAGTTTTTAGAATATAAAAGTTTATTTTTTGTTAAAATTATTTTATCTCTATAAATAGTTGTTAAATGGTAGTTATTAATATAAAATAACCTTTTTTCAATTAAGAAATCTAAATAAAGTTCATATTTTAATGTACACGAGATTGTCTTTCCTTCATATTTTAAAAAGAGTGTGTGAAGTATTTTGATATAGAAATTTTTTAAGAATATAAAAACAAGAAATGTAATACTATTTTTAAGAATATAAAAATTAAATTGGAGCTCTCTCACTTACATTTTTTTACTTAAAACGTGAATATTTAAAAGTAAAAAATAAAAAACTATAAATTGACCCTTGATGCTATCTTTAACACAATTTCTACAGTATTAACACATAAATGTCCTAATTACATAAGTTTTTAAAAATTAAAATCAGATTAAAACTAAAAAACCCTTGAAAGAACAACTTACATTAAAAAAAACCAAATAATTAAATAAACCTATCTATATCTATTAGGTTGTGTTCGCATGAGGGGAAAACACTGTTGGAGAGAAATTGCGAGGAATTATTTGCGAGATTAATTTTGTTCGTTTTTGTTGATCTGCGAAGATTTGCAAAGATGGAAATGCGAAGATTTGCGAGATATCCTTATTTTAATCATCTCGCTTTCTTGCTCGGATTTGCGATGATTTACATGGAAATATCATACCTGTCATTGGTGATTTGTAAAATGCTACGAGAATATTAATACTTTAAAATGTTATTTGAGCTTTGAATTTGAAAACGAGAATGGGCTTGATGGAAGACGAAGAAGATGCTTGATGTTGAGGAGGTTGATAGATGAAGATGAAGAAAGCTTGAAGCAGGGGTTGAAGAAGAGTGTAGTCGTTCTTGATGATCGTATATTCGGTTCCACAAATCTTGTATCTGATTCCACTGCTTAGAACAATTTCCACACAGGTTGTATTCGGTTCTGGCCTTCTTTTATTCGGTTCCAAAGCTGAATATATATTATAAACAAAAACACTCAAACTGCTACTGCGTACGAAAATCAGAAATTGCGGAAATTCTTACGTGCGAAGCAGCCTATCCAACGGTTGAGTAGGCCATCAATGTCGTCGGAGAGGTCGACGACTTCCGAAACTGTCCAGCCCTTCTGGAAGCGGTAGCGGGTGGCGATGTTATCCTTGTAGAGGTCGGAGATTTTGGTGGAGACCTCGTGCAGGCCCCTGTTGTAGTCGACGAAGCCTTCTTTCGTTTCCTTGAATGCCTTATTCGATTTCTTCTTGCAGGAAATGGAATTCTTCAGTGAGTGCACACGGTGGTGCCAGCTAGTTGGAGACACTGAGTTGCGGTGGTGGCCATGGACTATGACATGGAGGGAGTGTAGGTGGAAGAATGGATTATGGATAACTGTTCTCACAAAAATTAGATATTTTTTTTTGTCATCTTCCTCCGAGAATTAGATGTTTGTTTTATCTTCTTCCTTTCATCTTCTCTTTACATTTTCACTTTCAGTATTAAAAAAATATTACAACTTGGTAGTAAAATATTAGAACTTGGTAATAAAATCATATTTTAGTAAATTATATTACAAAATATTATATTTAAAAATAAATTTATTTTAATAAATTACAATTTTTATACATTTTTAAAATTAATTTTAATTAATGTTAATTTTTTACTCTTTATAAATATTTTTACAATCAAATATAACATTAACAAATATCATTTTATATTATTTTAATAACTAGGGACATTTTGATAATCTTTAATTTCTACCAATTAAACTAATTTTTTAAATCTATCCCATCAATCAAATTCTACACTAATTCTCAGAAACTTTACTTCCAAATCTACTCTCAATTACCCACAAATCCACTCAAAAAAACAACAAAAAAGTATCCTTAAATTCATTCAAATCATCTCCCGAAATCATTAACCCCAAATCACTGCAAAGAACAAAACATTAGAAATTATCTCAATAACAATAAGAATGTTACAATTATATATATATATATATATATATATATNAATTTTTGTTATACTCCTTAAATACTATTATAATATAAACATAAACTCAAGTTTAAGAGTGATCTGATAAATCATTTTTATAAGATAATTTATTAATTTTTTTATTTTTGCTTTTGAGATTCAATCCAATCTGACTTGTTATTTGAGTCCTGCTTAATGTATCTAGCATTGGTAATTGGTGTATTTTCTGGTTTTGGTTTCTTATTTTGTGATGGAAAAGAACAGAAACACATGGAAAAAGCTTTTGCAGCTACTGAATGGAATTTAGAAAGAAGCCACCCACTGAGTGCGTTTACATTCAATGGCCGACATATAATTTTCGTTGACTTCCTCTTCTTTTCGATTTTTTCATAACTTTAATAGTTCTTTCTCATGATTTTTTAAATTTTATTTCACTATTTTCAACTTACTTAATCTGATATTTTATTTTTTTAAATACATTAATAAGTTATTTCATTAACATGAATTACTAAGTGACGTCT